CTTGTACAGTACAACATAGTACTACGGTCTTGACTTAAGTCGCATCTTCTTGCTGAAGTCGCATCTTGATTGGCGCCCGCTGCACAAAACACAGTTTTACTCAAATCTTGTGATTTGATATTTGTACTAAATCATACATGATTGCCATTTTACCAGCGAGCCATCTCGCTTTTTCCATGGTTGACATATAGTTCCATAGTTGACTTTTTTCCTCGTGTAGGTTTTTTGCCCCAGATAGCGAAGCTATTTGGGTTAATATTTCAAGTATAGGCAGAGTTGCATGTTTGCGTTTTTGAGCTGGGTTGCTGGTGCCGTTGCAGGGTGCCGCTGCAGGGTGCCGCTGCAAGGTGCTGCTGTCAGAGTGCTGTTCGCGCTTTGGAGCCTGGTTGCTGGTGCACTGCAGGGTGCTGCTGCAGAGTGCCGTTGCTGGTGCTGTTGCGGTGGCAAGCTTCGCCGGGTGCTGTCCAGGGTGCGGGGTTTCTTTTCATTTTCTCTCTCCTCGTTTTCAGGTCCAAAAGGGCCTTGGTGGGTTGGTATGCCTTTAAGCCTTGTTTAGGCATCGTTTTGGCCTCGTTCTGGCTGCGTTTCTTTTTGCTCATGCTCCAGTTGCGGTGGTGCTGCGAGCCGCATAAGCAGCACAGCAGAAAGAGCAACGCACAAGCAGCAGCACCTCGCCCACTGCTCGCGCTGCTGGTGTAGCTTGTGCTGCTGCTGGCGCAGCTTGTGCAGCTTGTGCTGCTTCTGCTGCTGGTGCTTCTGGTGCTTCTGCTGCTTCTGCTGCTTTTGCTGCTTGTGCTGCTTCTGCTGCTTCTGCTGCTCGTGCTGCTTGTGTTGCTTGTGCTGCTTCTGCTGCTGCTGCTGCTCCTGCTGCTTCCGCTGCTGCTGCTGCTGCTGCCGCTGGCTCTGACCGTTGCCGCGTCCCAACCCTAAGGCCCAAAGGCAAAAGTGTATTTATTGTATTTATGACTGCGCGGGCGCGTATTTGCAGTTGATTTCAAATGAAAAAGTGCACGTCGACTGCGCGCGCGCGAAATGTTTCCTTGATTCCAGCCACTTTCTATGATGTGCGGAACTCATTGGCGCCCGCAATGAATCATTGCAAAAAACAATGCTCGTGATGTGACTTCAGCGGCGTGATGTGCCTAGTGTTTTCACAGCGCCTGCCACACAAGATGTGCCTTCAGCGGCGTGATGTGAGTTAAGCCGACAGCTTGTAGAATACATTCCAGGAAACATCGGAAACACCCCACTGAAACATGGAACCATGTCTGGATGACTCGCATCTTTCCAGTGAGGCTGGCCTCCATGCGCGCAGAGCGCGACGAAGCGCAAGCGCGGCTGAAGGTAGCGCCACTTTCGCCAAAATGGTCGGCGATACACACACACATATCTATCTATCTATCTTTCTATCTTTCTATCTATCTATCTATCAATCTATCAATCTATCAATCTATCAATCTATCAATCTATACATCTATCAATCAATCAATCTATCTATCAATCTATCAATCTTTCTTTCCATCTATCCATCTATCCATCTATCCATCTATCCATCTATCCATCTATCCATCTATCTATCTATCTATCTATCTATCTACCTATCACATGAATGAAGACGAATGTGGCAAACCCAATAATAAACATACTGTTTGAGGACGGTATATGCCACCAAATCACATCCATGTATGTTGATTTTGGGGATGGTTTAGAATTGGGTGTGGCACATTAATTAAGTCCCGCTGCCATAGCCCCTGGAGCACCACCTGACAGGCGGAAGAGCAACAGTGGTCATCCAGGATGGGAGAGCTGGCGTCGCTGGGTTGCCCAAAAACGACGAGAACATGTCATGGTTTGGCCGATGAAACATTCTGAAGCACGATGTTTAAAAAAGAACACAGAGGGGCAACCATGTCAATCTATGGCATCTATAAATAATTATTGATCATTAATAATGGTGAATAGTCTGAATAGTGATCATTAATGGTGAATAATGGTGAATAATGGGGGTTGTGGCAATTGCTGGCACATCCTCAGCGGCTCCAGCGGCAGAAGACCCACCTTGGGCAGCCCGAACTGAGTCCCAGCTAAGCTTCAAGTGGTTTTAGATGAGCCACTCCCATCACCATCATCTATGTCGCGTGTTTTTTTTTGTGTTTTGGTATACTTCAGTCAACATCCATCTTTTCCCGAGTTTGTTCGGGCCTGTGCACAGGCAAAAAGTGATGAGATCGTACAAGAATTTGAAGCTGACCGCCTCACTTTCAGCCCCTCACATCACTCTTACCCTCCATATTTGGATAAGTCTTATCCTCCATATTGAAGTCATATACTGTATAGTTGATATAGTTGCTGAATTTTCATTGGCTGAAACAATTTTGAAAACCATAATATGTAATATTATTTATATATACATATGATATTATATAATATCCATATTGCTATATTATTATGTTTATTTTTTCTATGTTTGATCTATCCACTTTCTCCCCACCCAGCCGCCATGGCCAAAAAGAAGAAGAACCGCCCGCAGCAAAGCGCTGCAGTGTCCACCAGTGGCACCGCTGGAGCCGAGCTGTCCAGCGCCATCAAAGCGGTGCAGTGGCTGGCCAGTGGCCAGGGGAAGAGTGATGGAGGCGTGAAATGATTGGATTGTGGGGGAGAATGTTCCGTATATTATTTTACATTATTTTATACTATATTATATTACATTATGTTATATTATATCATGTTATATTATATTATATGATATTATATTATATTATATTATTTTAGATGTTATCATATTTTCATATCTTGTATTGTATTAATTATATTTATGTTATATTTTATGTTTTTGTAATATATTTTTCTTTAAAAAAATATATTATGCTATATTAATTTATGTATATTTATTTATTTATTTTACTGTATTTTATTTTCTTATAATATATTATTTATTTCGGTTTATTTTATTATAATAATATGCAATATTAAATTATATTATATTTCATTTTATATTGCATATTTTTTTGTGTATATGGTGTATATGATACATTATTATGCCACTAATGGTGTATACCAATGGTTAATCAATGGTATTTTCTATCATTAGAGATTTAATACATAACTGCTCTAATAATATGGGAAACCCTGGCTGCCATACACAACTACCATGACTGGGGATGGTTGGCTTCATCCTATCCCCGGCGTGTGACAAAAGGCGTGAAGCGCCAATGGTTTATGAACTTCCCGAAAAGGAGATCATTGTAACAGTAACATAAATAATTATGAAATATCCTTTTGTTGCAACCATGTTGTTTGCTCAAAAGGATGTATCGTTGATGGCATTTGGTTTCAACTAATTCTATAGTCCATCCCATTTGGGATGGTGATCCCAATCGGCACACATGTTTCAAGTAAATGATGATTAAACTGCGGCAACCCGCACAAAAAAATAGAACAGTAAAATCCTTAGCAAATCGATCTAAATTTTTGGTCAACTCACTCTTCTACCGTTTCAGGGGTTTCCGACAATCTTCAGCATCCAGGCGACCTGCTGCGTGCGCTGAAGCCTCTGGTGCTGCTCCGCGCGGCCAAGTATGAATTGGATTCCCAAGCGGCCAAAGTAGAGAGAGTGGACAGCCGGCAGATGCCCAAAGCTCAGGTGTGACACCTGGAAATTATGGAGTAAACATCATCGAACTAAAATCCTGGATTTTTTTTGGGTAGCTATTACTATATCTGGGTACGGGGTATGGTATGGGTCAAAAAAGCAGAAAGATAGCAACAGAGAGAGAGAGAGAAGCGGTATGAGGCAAAGAAAACTGGTCGCCCCTTCTGAAAATGGATAGCTTAAACTTAAACAAGCAATAAACAAAGAACAATGACGAATTAATACCGGACCATTTCTCATCTCCAAAAATACCCTTGAAAACTTCCAAAAATACACCTTCACATTTCCAGAAATATCTCTTCACACCTCCAAAAATACCCCAAGGTTGTTTTTTTTCTCCGATCGAAAAATACACCAACTTTGATGTATTTTTTGATCTAAAAATACCCTGAGGCTGGTGTAGTTTGAAAAAATACATCAAGGGGTAATTGACCACTTTTAGAAGTTATTAGTTTGCATTGAGGGGGAAAAGGGTATTTTCGGGTTCAAAAATGAAACAAAGTTGGGAGCCAAGCTGATAATCACAATAGAAACATCCAGTTTTTGCCGTCACAAGCATTATCTATATAAACAATTGTCTTTCATCAATAAAACAAGTTGAGTCCATTTCGTTTCCATTCCCCTCTATCTTTACTGGTGATTCACTGACATGGAGGTGGAAAGACACAATTTCCATAGGGAAAAAACAACAGCATCTAGTATTTGCAACTCTACATGCTGATTTGGGCCGTGTTGCCTTGGTGATGGTGTATTTATACGCCACTGGAAGGGTTATTTTACCCCAATGAAAGGGTTATTTTTACCCAACACAAGGGGTATTTATACCCAACACGCGGGGTATTTATACCCCAAGGTAACGGGTATTTTTTTGGTATATACCTTGAAAGAGTTACTGTTACAGGCAATGCCCAAGTTAAAGAAATATATAATATATAGCTATGGACAATGGCCCACTATAAATGATTTACCTGTAAGAAATTATGTTTTTCCATAGCTATGTTAAAGTACCAGATGGTGTCAGTTCCATTATATCCCATAATATCCCATTCCATACCCATATTGTAGCCCTATTAAAATCTCCATTGTTCTATTTGTCCAATCCCATGAAATCACCATGTTGCTTCAATCTCTAGAAATCCTCAACCTGGGTTGTTGGTTAAATCACATTTTTTTGGGGGTTAAACCATTTTAAACCAACCCAGCCATGAAATCGCCATGGCCTCCGTCCTCCGTCAGGGCAGGAAGCGCTCCGCCGAGGACGCCTTCGCGACGGCGACGCCGACGGCGCCCTCGGCGTCGGAGCTGGCGAAGGCCATAGCGAGCTTCCGGACGTTGGCGGAACACCCGGAGGAGCCGCTTGGGATTTTTTTGGGGGAAACGTAGGGGAAAAATCCGGGGAAAAATGGTGATTTTCATGATTTGAGTCTATTTAATGAAAGAAATCTGGGGAGAGATAATTGATATAGAACCTACTTGGGGATGATATGTGGGATGTATCCCAGTATCCCAGAGTGTTCCATGGTATATTGACCAACATTTAGCCCATAAATGACCCAGTCATGTAGGTAAATATTGTATACATGGATCATATGGTGATGGCGATGGCTTTTTACGCAACCAACCAGAAATAGAATGGGATTGCAGACAAGATTGGATTGGACGGGCTTGGCTGATGCATGCCACTGCCCCATTGCAATTGAGGTGCTGGTCCCTTACATGGTCCTTTACATCCACAATCATTCTTGTTAAGTGGATAGAAGATCCAACTGTTGTCGGGTTTTACAGTATTTGTTTTGAATCACTTTAATTCCCGTTTTTAGTGCCTTCCATAAGATTACAATATATTACAATTTAATTAAGGTTTAAATCTATTCGGATAAAAACCATGATGACCTCACTGGCACCTCCCTGGTATGATGGTAAGGATTGGCGGAAACATCACCCATGGATCCCAGGGATCTAAAGCCAAAAACACTAGTTACAGTGGTAAACCCATGGGATTTCAATGGTATTTACCAATGGTATAATTCAATCATGCTAATAAATTCATTGGATTTGGGAGATCTAAAAGGACTTAGATCCATTAATTATTTTTGGTTAATTTAATGGTTAAAATCTCTTTTCTCATCCGCAAATTCCATGACGTTCCCGGCCTGAGGAGCTCCTGAGCCCGGCCTGCAAGGCATTGCGTAGCGCGCTGCATCCGCTCGTTGAGGCGCATTTGCGCGAGGCCGGAGGGAGGCAGAATTCAGCCAGAGGAGGATTTTAGCGTTAGACATGGGGATAAACCGAGTCAACATTGGGTTTGATATCAAGGATGGTGGTCGATTTTTAACAATTGTGGGTAAATCATGCAAAACGGAGGGTGAATGCAATAAACCATGACCACCGGGCCTTTCACCGGCAAGATTTGGGATGCATACTATTTATTTTATGTATATATATATATATATACAGTATACATTATATTCATGGAGAATTGAGTTGAATTCTTATCAGCCAAACAAGTCTCCACACATTCACTAAGTGCTATATTTTGGGATTTCCAAACAAGAACTTGGCCATGTTTAGGCTGATTCACCCCATCATTGTCCTCCGTCGTGAGTTTGCTATGCTCACTTACCCCTTGATAATTCAACCTGGCTGGGAAAACGTTTTTTTTTTCATTGGAACATATTATAATATGGAAACGCATGCTTGAAGTGGGTGGTTCTGATTTCCAGGTTTGAGTACTAAGAGTGTACAATTATATAATCCCAATTCTTTCTGGGTAAATTCCAAGTTTGTTGAGATGAGGGTGTTGATATTAGATTACGTTGCTTGCGAAACTTTAAAGCATGATTGGTTAAGACGGTTTAATGCTGACATTTGCTGATTAAAGCGTGTTTTTCACTGATGAACTCACGCTTCTGTTGGTAAAATCCCTGTTTGGCACAATTGCCAAGGAATTTGTTGAATGCTGAATGCTGCAGATCATTCCCAATTTTGGTTGCTTAAATTTCCCGATGTTTACTTCTAACCATTGCCATGCCTGGACGGTCCACATGGCATTCATGGTGGAAGTTAGGATGCATGGTGAACGTGTTCCCATACACGCATACTTAAAAACCGTGAGAAGTACTCACCGGAAGAAATGCCGCCCAAACGAAACGTATATATACTAAGTAATTATACTAGATGCAATCATTTTATTTTGTTTGATTTCATTCTTGGGTGCCTCCGACTCGGGGGCTGTTGCATATTTGCTATGGTCCATTATGACCGGGGGATGGGATTAATCAATATTATCCAATTTAATGTCATCACATTCGATCATGAACCAGTCATACTATGAAATATGTGGTATATATATAGATATGACTGGAATCAATATGGCATGATTGAATATCACATGTTCATAATATCGAAAATTTCAATATCACCTTAAACTTCAAATATCACAAAGAAATGCTGCAAATATTGAATATCGTGACATTGAATAGCAAACATCATAATATGGCAGTGTGTCAAAACCTTGTACCCCTGGTGAACATCAAAATAGCTGGTAAATGGATGTTCATCCCCCTAAAAATGGTATTAATAGGCATTGACCCATACCCATATCACTAATTGTAAAAATTGTTTCAAAGTTCCGTCGCAGGAGAAGGCCTCTCCAGCCTTTCGCATCACCTCCATGCTCGGCGATCGCGCGCGCTGGCCTGAAGCCTTGCGTGCCCTGGTGAACGCCGACACAAATTTGGCAAGAATGTGGTTAAAACATCATAAACCACCCATTTGGGAATGGTTTATACCTATAAGAATGGTGATTTGGGGGATGGTTTACCCTCTGGTGAACTAACATAGCAATGGAAAATCACCATTCTTAATGGGAAAATCCACTATAAATGGCCATTTTCCATTGCTATGTTAGTTCACCGGAGGGTATCATTTTTTACTCACATAAAATGAATTTAAGAGCTTCAAATTCGGATCATGGCGAACGATGACCGGCTTTGCCGTGGATGTGACTGGTCACTAGAGGTTAAGCCGCGCAGTTGTTTAGCCTCCAGTATGCAGAAATGATCAAACATGATCAAACATGGTAATCGAAGATTCCTCCCTTGCCATGTTAAGATCTAAGATACCTGATGATTTACGAATTATATCAACATTGCCACGTTAAAATGCCAGAGGCTACCGGGATTTGATGGGAAAATCATGGAAAATCTACAGGACCCCCACAGAGGTTACACTGGCTACACCCCTGAACCCCACCCCACCGAACTGGGAACTCTGCAGGAACTGCTTCAAAAAAGGTGCAATTTTCTCACCCAACGATTCGTATGTTACCCATATTTACCCAAAATTCCACCGAAAAAGTACAGCAGATGTCCTTATTGGGATACCCTCATGTCATCTAACAGTTGGCCATGGATTTATATTTATGTATATAAATATATCATATAACAATCATATATGTTTAATAGGTAAATCATCCACACATGGGATCACATGGGCAATTTTCCATGGTCAGAGGGTACCCGTTCTCTCCAGGACTGCTGCGAGAGCTGCGCCGGCAGCCCAGTGAGAAGCGACCCAAGCTGGGCGCCTATCAACGCTGGGTCCGCGAGTTGGACGTGGCCGAAGGAGATCCACAAGAGCCGCTTGGAACGGTCCGGACAATGCGGCGCTGGTGCCCATTTGGTGAGCTTGGCGAAGTGGAAAATCGCCATGGTTACCATGGTTAATAGGTAAATCATTTGGTAACTCATCTAAATTTGAACCTTTTTCCATAACTATGTTAGTTTGCTGCAGGGTAATCCCATCTGCTGTTCATGTGAAATACCCCCATGGTTAATGGTGCCACGGTGCCAGTTATATAAATATTATAAATCCATGTAATTCCTGTACATCGACCATGGTTTCCTTGTTGGGGGGAAGGGGGGAAAGCTAAACATGAGACCGATGGTTGTTGGAAACTTGAGTTAAAAAAGACATAAAGCTGCCAACTGTTAAATCTGTCAAGACTGGGTACGGCTTATTATTGAGTTTGCGAATAATTGACGCATGTGTACGACTTTTTTCTCCACTACTCTATACATCTGCAGATTTTTGGTTTGATCCGCTTTCTCAATGCATGCCATTCTTGAGTCTCAAGTCATCAGTTGAACTGAAGTACTTCCAGTCGTTCCAAACGTTTTCGTTCTCCTGATTTCAATGGTTGATCATCACCCCTGAAACGTTACCATACTTGGGGCATATGGTTGGTCACTCTCCATCCATGAAATATCCCCGGTCTTATATCGCCATTTATACCCAGATATGGAAAGGTTATGAAAGGTTATATATCCTAAAATTTCCACTAAATATCCCAGCAAGTATCTCCGTAAAACCTTACAGTAGTCATATTGTATCCTATAGCCATATGCTTACGTAAATCCACATCCAGCAGTCTATTTTTGCTGATAGCATGCGCTTAAATCACAGAATCACCAGCTATCTGCAGACCTGTCAGCACCCCTCAAGGCACCCCCATCATAATTCAAAGCTGCAAAAACTCCACATCCATCCCCAAATTTTTAGATATTTCTTGCCCTTCACATCTGCCAAATCTGCTAAATCTGCTAGAGACTCAGAAGAAACTCCACCATACTCCACCATCTTTGCTGATTTTCTCCTTCCGTTACGACTGATTGAAGTCAAAGGCTCCTGATGCTGGACGCCGTGATGCGCCTCGCTGCTGGCTTCGAAACGGCGCCCGCCACGGCAACGGCAACGGCAACGACGGCGGGGCGCCTGGAGGCGCTGGCGCCCTGGGCGCCACAGCTGGGGCGCAGCAACTCGGCCGAAAATGGAGACAGCCTTCTGATGGATGATGAATGATTATAGAATATCTATATATCATATATCCATGATCATAGAAAATCAGAATATGGATGATGCATGATTATAGATGATTATAGATGATGATAAACGTTGAAGATAAATGATGACAACTGATGGGGAATGATGGAGAATGATTGGTTGTTGGCGCATGAAATCACATTAACTTTGGAGATGTGACCCAAAACGTTGGATATTCGACCTCTTGACAAACAACTATGGCAACTATGGGGGTGTCTAACGGGGCAAACATCAAGATTCTAGCAATCCACGTTGGCCAAATAAAGGCCAAAAAAAAAGACGCCTGACACTGCAGGCTTTGCTGAAACCAAGGTCCGAAGCCCAAGGAATCCACGGAGCCGAAGTTGGAGGAGGTTCTCGTGGAAGGCTACACCTCCACGGCCAGCAAACTATTTTCCTTGATCTCCCACCGTCACCTTGGCCTTTTTCGTGGGCTGTTGAGGGGGTAATTCATGGGGATTGGGGAGATGGGATGGTGCCCTGATTTCATCCAGTTTGATAGACCCTTGGGTAGTTTCTGGAATCAAGTCTGCAATTTTATATGGAGGAACATGTCGTAACCCCATACCCCATACCCCTAAGATGTAAATCATGTAAATACCACCTAGGATCAGGGACCTGAAAATGAACAGATCCAAGCGATTCCGGTTCCTCGTTATTTTTTGGAATGTAAGATATATATATATACACACATATGCACGTGTATTTACATATAATCTTTATAATTGTTAATATGAGAAGGGGTTGCCCAGCTGAAAAATAAGCTTTTGCAGTGTATCTACTATATCGAATCATTGCGATTGGGGCTGCGTCCATGCCATAAAATTACAATTTTAATAGAAACAAAATATGGAAACACAATCATCAACCACAAGATTGTGAGGTACAACATCTTTGGACACACCCAGATCAATCTTTGCAAATTGCTCTTCTGGAATTCTCATGAATTCACAATTTTCCAGTGTTGTCCATCATTTTGTTTCCCCAACCCCCTTTTAGTTGGAGTCCCAATTACGGGCAATGAACGTCTGAAGCAACCCAGTTACATATGGGACATAATTATTATATATGTACATATATATATATATATACATATGTGGGTTATTAACATTTATTAACCACTTCCTGACTGAACCTATTTGAAAAAACTCATTTCAGATTGGGAATGGGACCTGAGCTGCAAGGCAAAGCTGGCTCCGCTGCGATGGGCGGCTCCTGGCGTGTTTTGGCCCATGAGAAGGCGGCAGATCGCATGCCGCCCAATCACTACGACCTGGACAGTGGGTCTGATAGATGATGGGCTCCGGGGTGGGTTTCTATGGGTTTCAACCGGTTTTTTCTTCCGTTTGTTTCCATATTTTGGATGAAGCGGGTTGAAGATTTTGAAGGAGCTGCAGTTTTTTGGATGCCAGTTTTGAGACAACAGTCAGGTGCGATGTGACCCCCTGAGGATTCTCGATGAGACTTGTGAGGATCCTTAATTTTCCCTAGGAATTGCTCCCTGGCTATGCAAGTCTTGGGTTATTTTCCATGATTTTCAATGGCCAGGTGGGATTGGCAGGAAGGGCCAGCCGGTTTAACATAGATGAGAGACCGGAATAATGAGGACAGAGGCAATGGTATTGCTTGGCTACTTTTCTTTATGTCTCTCTCTTACTCTTCTACCCCTATCTGTTGGGCTCCGATATGGGAGCATTATGATCGCAAGGTTTAGAAGGAACTTCTGTCAGTATAGGATGTGAAATTAGGAAGCTTTGGAAGGGGTGACACAAATATGCAGTGGGGTCCGAAGTGGGACCACTATTCTCTTGGACCGTTCCCTGTAGGGAATTTGAGGGAACTTCTGTCAGCATGTGGGGTGATAACATAGCAGAAGATGAGACTGCTGTGTCGGCTCCGTCAATGTTTTTTGCAGTTTTTTTTTGGGTGAAGCTAGGAAGCTTTGGAATGGGGTGAGGTGAGGAGGGCAGAGGTAAGGGTCCGTCAATGGAGGCACAGTCGCTATGGAGGAGAAACTTCTGTCGGTATAGGATGTGAAATTAGGAAACTTTGGAAAGGGGTGATGAAAATATGAAAATATGAGCATAAGGATCCCTGAAAGTCTGAAGGCGAAAAGTTTGCGGGTGAAAAGTCTGCGGGTGAAAAGTCTCTGGGCGAAAAGTGTGTGGGTGAAGAGTGCGCAGGTGAAAAGTCTGTGGGTCAAAAGTATATGGGTAAAACGGGTATGGGTGAAAAGTCTAAGGGTGCAAAGTCTGTGGGTGAAACGTCTGTGGGTGAAAAGTCTGTGTGCGAAAAGTGTATGGGTGAAAGTCTGTGGATGAAAAGTATACGGTTGAACAGTCTTGGGAACAGTCTTGGGTGGAAAGTATATGGGTGAGAAGTATATGGGTGAAAGACGGTGGGTGAAAAATCTGTGGGTGAAAAGTGTATGGGTGAAAAATATATGGGTGTAAAGTTTTTGGGCGAAAAGTGTATGTGTGAAAAGCATATGGACGAAGAAAAGTTTATGGGGGAAAAGCCTGAGGGTAAAAAATATATTGGTGAAGAGTCTGGGGGTGAAAGGTATATATATGGTTGAACAGTCTGTGGGTGAAAAGTATATGGGTGAGAAGTATATGGGTGAAAGACTGTGGGTGAAAAGTCCCTGGGTGAAAAGTATATGGGTGCAAAGTCTGTGGGTGAAACGTCTGTGGGCGAAAAGTGTATGGGTGAAAGTCTGCGGGTGAAAAGCATACGGTTGAACAGTCTTGGGTGAAAGGTATATGGGTGAGAAGTGCATGTATGAAAGATGGTGGGTGAAAAGTCTGTGGGTGAAAAGTATACGGGTGAAAAGTCTGTGGGTGAAAAGTATGTGGGTGAAAAGCCTGTGGGTGAAAAGTCTCTAAGTGAAAGTCTGTGCAAGAAGAGTCTCTGGGTGAAGAGTCTCTGGGTGAAAAGTATATGGGTGAAAAGTCTATGGGTGAAAAGTATGTGGGTGAAAGGCCTGTGGGTGAAAAGTATATGGGGGGGAAGTCTGTGGGTGAGAAGTATATGGTTGAACCGTCTGTGGGTGAAAAGTATATGGGTTAGAAGTAATATATATGGGTGAAAGACTCTGGGTGAAAAGTCTGTGGGTGAAAAAAACTTTGGGGGAATATAGGGGTAGATGGGATGCTGGCTTTCGTTCCCCCCTTCTCAGGTATCTATACTTTAAATGATGCTAAATCTGCCAAATGGGTTTATAGACCAGCTTTGCAGGATAAAAAAGTGATTGAAACCCAGCCACCCTGCCAGGACATCTACATTTGCCCTCCGTCGGTGCTGCCGTTGAACGTGCGCCCTCCGCGGGACACGCAACGTCACGAGATGCCGGGCGTGGAAGGCGGCTTCGTCCTGAGCGACGTGCTCAGTGCTGAGGAATGCTCAGAGCTGAGGATGGCGACCGAGCAGATCGGAACCTCGGCATGGCAGGTGTTCTAAAGTGATGCAAATCAAAGATAATGGCAATATGGCGGGAATTATCCTTGCTTGTATATGTTTGCTATTCTTTGAGTTTGTTTAATGTGAAAATCATGAAACAGGTAGAAGTGATTATTGCATGTCCTTAACTAAATGTTGATGTGCAAATGGTTTTCCATTGCGGTAGAAGTCTCAAATGTTAGGAAGTATAGCCCTTTACTTCATGACTGAAGCGTGCAGAGGTTGGAACGATCAGAAGCTCAATGTCCTTTGCCAGAAGGAAGCGAGGTTAGTAAGTTGGATTTCTGGACAGCGGGCAGATTGCTTCAGTTTGTTGATATGGAGATATTTGGGTACACAACACGTTTACTCCTTCCATGTTGTTCACCAGATTCCACTGGTGAATCATCAACTTTTCCACAGCAAGGATATCGGCCCGACGTGCCGATCTCGTCGCAACTCGACGAACGCGCCCACAATGTGGTGCTCATGGCCAACGAAGTTCAGAACAAGAGCCTGCTACCTGGATGCAGCCGCTACGCTGAGCGGCTTCTGGGGATTTCGATTCTACTGTAGCATAGATGCATCAGTATATATATATATATAATTATATATATACACAGTGTATTAAATAATATTAATTACATTATATATATAATATTACATTTTCACACACACACATATATATATATAATATCTCATCCCATCCCCTTGATAAACGTGCGAAATCGAACAACATCAACTCAGATGTGCCAAGCGTGCAGCCTGGCTTGCCACAGCTTCACCTTAGGCAATTTGCTTAAAACACATATATATATATATCCCATAGGATCCATGTATGGTATATATGCTAACATTTGGGGTATATTGATGGTAAATGTTACCATATATGGCATACATGGATCCTATGGGTGTATATATATATATATATATTGGAAACCAATGGACATCCCACCAATGTGTCTCAAGTGAAGTTGCTCCAGGTTCGATCGCGTGAAGCACCTGTTGCCCTCGCAGCTTGGGGACGAGAAGCTCCTTGGTCTCAACCGGCGCTGGCGCTTCTACCGCTACTTCTCTGGAAACTTGCGACTTGGATCCACGGTGCTGGCTGGCTATGGCGATAGATGGTGAAATGGTGGAAATCAATGGGAAAATCCATGGTAGAACCGTGGGAAAACAATTGGACAACCATATGAAACCATAGGGACGCCCGGAAAATGCACCAGTTGCCTTGTTTTCTTACACTGTCTTGAACTCAAGGGGAAAGCTATGCTTGAGACCTCTTCCTCAGGACAAACACATGGAAAAACAGATGGCTCTGGGGGTAAGTGATTTATGTTCAGAAAGTAGCTACGGTTTCTGTTGCTTACTAAAGGCATTCTAAGGATCTCTTGATGCCCATCAGCTTAGTTCGATAGTTCGTTCACGGTGTTGAGTGATTCGATTAGAATTGGATGATTACCCAGCCATGTATCAACGAAGTGACGCCCGCTGAAGTGATTTTGTTGACGCCACCTCAAATTAATAAAGATAGAGAACATGATAAAACAAGAATAATGATAACAATCAACAATGATACTGATTATAGTAATAATGCACACGGTAGACATTATATGCATGCATATGCATGCCGGTTCCTCAAAACGTTTGCCTGAAAGACTGTCAGCAGGAGTCTGATGGCATTTGGCAAGTTCATCCAATCAACAAAATGGCAGCAACTGTTGTCAGAGAAAGAAGATAGTTCTCTTCGGCAATGGACTTATTTTATGTTAGCTTGGGTTGCTACTTTCACCACCTGTCACCACCTAAGTTGACCATCAGATTTAGTTGTTCGGGACCTCCAGATGCCTTCCGATTTGCATACAATTTCATGGAACATCTATCACATATCATGCAGTTATCAAAAAAAACGAAAAAACACCAATGTCAAAATGTCGCAGAATTATTTGCAGATGGCTTATCTTCGGCATGTTTTCCTAGTTTTTCAGCTCATCTTCCTGGCTGACAATGTTCAGCTCGAGGTATCGGAAACATTTGGACGGGGCGTGGCCAGCCAGTGGCATCACTCACGAAGATGGTCAGGAAAGATATGTCTATGATGCTCACGGTGGTGGCACCAGGTCCAAATTGACCTTTATCATCTACTTGAAACTTGAAAGCATTATTTAAAAACAGCACAAAACAACAGGATAAACACGATATTTCAATATTGTAAACCCCAAAAAGATGGAATCATACTGGATTCCATATTTAGGATTCAGCTGTTCTATCTTTTTGGGGGTTTATATATATATATAATTATATATATATATATACATGCGTGTGTGTGTGTGTCAGTGTATGTCATGTCTCTATAATGCCAACCCTGGATGAATCAACCCTGGTTGATTAGGGGATGCCCCCAAATAGCGATAATGTTTCTATTGACTGATATCCCCAATTTAACAGAGTTATTAAATAATCCAGGGTTGACATTAATCGTAAGAATTGGAAAGGTTGATCCCACTTTCCTATTGACAACCTCTCTTTTCAGAACCCCAAACTCAACCAGGGCTTCTAGGCGGGGTGTATTCAGAGGGTGAAGGGATTGGAGACATGCGGAGCTTCAAGTTTTCAAGATGGAAAGGTCTCCATTCATGCTTCATGGTTTTGATCTTCCTATGTTTTTTTACTGTAGATTTTATCTACCCTCTGGTAATTTAACATAGCTATTGAAAATGACCATGTTTAATAGGTAAACCATCTAAAAATGGGCCATTTTCCATGGCCATGTTAAATAACCAGAGGGTATATGTCTACCTTGGAAGTTCCTCAGCTCCCAGGAATGATGATTTCGAAGGTGGCTGCACCACCTTCTTCACCCCGAAAGTTGGAGAGGAAGGCACCCTGCATTCCAGGCCTCCTGCGAAACACAGCACAACTTGGGTGGGAACTGTCTGTAAGCAAAACCCCATGGGATCCCATGGGCCAGCACCAAAATTGCCTGGAAAGTATGGTAGAAACCTCAACAGAATGGTGCTTTGCAAGAACCGCTTTTTTTTAAAATCCTCCATATGCATCTTAAATTTTCGGGTGTAGCCATGCCTCCCACCTTGGATCATCATTCCAGGTTCAGCTGGAAAAGCATCGACTTTTCTTGCCCCACAGTAGGAATGGAAGGAGCGGCAAGAGCTATACACATCGTGAGCCCTGTATATAAGATCTATGCTTGAATATCTCCATGCTATCTCTACATTCAATATCTATATTCTTCAATATCTCATATCCAAAATATTCCATAATCATCCATAATCCAATTGTGCTTAAAATGCACTAATTACAATATACATATACATATATATATATATATGATATATATATATGATATATATATATATATATGATATATATGATATATATACATACATATATATATAATTATATATATATCTATATATTGATATATTAAAACACACACACATATATATATTTATAGAGAGAGAGAAGAGTATACACTTCCATATCTTTAACCCAACTTCCACCAGGCCGATCCGTCCGACGATTGGCTCCGCCAGCGTCTTCCCGCATGGCGACTGCCCTGTCCCGCTGCTGCACGAGGGATCCGCCGTGACCGGTGGAACCAAGCGCCTGAGCCGAAAGGGAGGGGTGACCCATGGTGACCCGCAACGGTGCCATCAAACATGGCTTGATTTACCTATGAAAAGTTGTGATTTCATGGGTTTTATCATGTTTTACCTATGAAAACATGCCGATTTCATGGATTTTACCTATGAACATTTGTGATTTAATGGGTTTGAATGGGACCCCCTAGAAACGGATAGTTTAATAGGAAAATCCTGCCATGTTTGATTACCAGAGGGTATTTATGGCATGTGGGGCAATGGAATACTTAGTTGGATATATCGGGATACTGAATATTGGGCAAATGTACGAGCAAATATGAACGAAGTGCCAGAGTAAGGGGGGTCTTATACCCACAGCTGGTTTGGGTTATCGATACTTAAAAGATCCAATTAGTACCAACGGGTACCCGATGTTTGAGTCAAACGTAGTTTTTTTTCCTTTTCGAAGCGCAGTTGCCAACATTTCTTACATGGACATGCTGTGACATGCTATTATAAACTACATGGACATCTAACGTTTATTCTACATCTTCGTTGGACGAGTGACACATTATTTTTCTGGAATGTGGGTGGAGTTCTTTTTCAAGGTGGAGTGGTCTGGGTTGAACAGAGGCTTCATGACGTGAGTCATGACATATCCTCCGGTAAACTAAGATATCTATTAGACAATTGCACATTTATAGATGATTTATCGATCCACCTATGAAAAATGGTTTGCTGTTGTTCAAATGCATGTGTTGAAACTAACTTCCATGCCTCCGTGAAGCTTCAAGGTACTTGTTGCGCACTGATGTGGTCTATGCTCGCCCTGATGCTTGGAAAAATCAGCTGTAAAGTTGAGAAGTTCAGATTAATCCATATGAATCCATGTGATATGGGACTTACGGCAAGCATAGGTGGTATCCAAGAGGAAATCATCTTCCAAACATTTTTTTTAATGGATTCTTTCTTATAGTGTTCAACGGATCTTGGGTACTGAATGAGGCATAAGTTTGGGATGGTTTTCCTGCATGTTTCGCACTCTATCAACCTTCCCTTTTGCTCCAGAAACAATCTGTGGGGACGGTGGGAAGGGGGTGGCGCTTCACGGTGACCCAGGAGACGCCCGAGGAACTGAAGCACCAGGCGCGGCTGCGTGGCTTAGCACGGCAGCTGGGCGGGCTCGGAGGCCTCGGGGGTCAAGGCCTGGTGGAGGAAGCGCAGGAGGTGCCAAGCGAACCCAAGATGAGTCGCTCAGTGGCAGCTGGGGATGGTTATCGTTTTTTCATGTTTTTTCTTTTGGATTGGTCTAACTGAGTCTAACTGTCTAACTTTCGATCTAAGTTTTTTTTTTGCGAGGGGATCGGTGACACATGGTGACACATCAGTTTTTAGATGCGTTTTCTTGGGGAAATATCAGCGGGGCTGCATGGAGAGTAACACCAAACATTTCAGTGTTGTTGATGTTGGAGTCAAGGGAGTTTGGGGATCTAAAGTCCATCAAATTGATTTTCAGCCTGCCTGTATAGGTGGATGGTGGTTTGTCTTTTGGTAGTTTGGGCTGCTTTGGGGTGTCTTCTACTTGTTGGACACACTCCAAAATGCCTAACATGCCCTATTGTGATGGGCTTCGGGGCTCCCAACTGAAATGGGCACATTATCTGTCATTAAAACCAATCCCTTCTTGCATGGTGACAGATGGAGCTTCCTTCATCAAACTCGTTTCCTTCTCTTTTTGTCTCATGGATCCAACAAAGCTTCTCTCAGCATTTTTTAGGCCTGCTTTCAAGCTGTTTTTTGGGCTTAGTTGGTTTTTGGTGGCAGCTTCAGCAGTGAGCAGTGGGTCAAAAGTCACATGTCATGGCACTGATGAGGCAAAGGCAAAAAGCGCGTGAAGAAGTCCAGTCTGAAAGGAAAGCCTGGTAAAGCCGAAGAAGGAGATGGAGCGCCGACGTCCAAGGGGCAGAAGGGCAAGAAAGTGCTGAAACAGATCAAGCAGCCACAAAGTGGCAAGGACAGAGCATATGGACACTTGGCTAATGAGATATGGTTTTGTCCAAAAACAGTGTGCGCTAAACCCAATTGTTTATGATGTTTATGGTCAGTTTCTATCTTTGGATCGGTTTACCATGGTTTACCATTCATTCTGCTATCCTTCTAAAAATTGTCGCATGAGATCAAAGAACGACACAGTTGTTCTTGTTCTTGCAGTGTATCGTTTTCTTTCAATTGTTGAAGTGCCTGGTTTTGTCTGTCACTTGAAGCAACTTGTGACAAAATCCAAGGCAAAAGAGCCAAGAAGAGGCAAGGATTTTCCAAGCAGAAAAGAGTTTTGAAAAAAACTAGGTGTGTCATCCAAACAAAGAAACAGTAGCCGAACTAATGTGAGTAAAACAAACCATCCCCCAAATCACCATTTTTATATATTTTTATAGGTTCTATAAACTATTCCCAAATGTTTGGTTTATGGCATTGTTTTACCCACATTATGTCAAACTCATGTACCAATAGACAAGGGGTTTTCATCAGTTGGGGACCACTACCACCTTGGCCAGGGGCTCCGCAGCGCGTCGGCGCTGATGCCGCAGTTTCAACGAGAAAAAAACGGTAAAAGACTGGACGTGGAACCCCATGGTCTGAAAATCAGGAAAACAACATGTTACATGTTCCAAACATATCCAACAAGTATCAACAAATAGGTTTGGAATATGCTTATGGTTGATTTTTTCACTATCACATGGAGTAATCTCAATAGGCGATGGTTGATATGTATGTCAATGTACTGTTATGTGTATGTATGTAATATTAATTTACAGATATGGGAAACCCTCCAAAAGCTTTACTGTTTGTATGTAGTCTTATTTCAGGTTGGTGACATATCCAAATTTGCCCCCACACACACAGAATCACACAGATATAGACCGCACATAAACGTCAAAGTCCTGCGCAAAGCCCAGAGAAAACCCGGAAACCCAAAGACCCTGACCCTAAAACCCTAGGTCTGAAAACCACACCCAAATTTCAAATGCAAATTTGCTGCGGGGAGAGCGATCCTGAGTTTTGAGGCATTATTTCAACTGGGAAGAAGCCGGCACCGTTGCGTGGACGAATGGAGTAATGATATTTTTGTTCACTGATATCGATATCATATTTACATCATAGATGAAGGCAAGCGGCTAAAAAAATGACACCTTGGTTTAACACTAAACATGCCCAATTTTCATTTGCATACCCAAGTTTTGAGCCATACCGAGACAGGACATTTCACCACTCCTAGAATTAGTGGAAGAGAACAAGCTATGGAATATCCTATATGTTCAGGTAAAAAGTATGTTTTCCCGTGGGTTTTCCCTGAACTCAATCCATTTCTCTTCAGCATTCGCTGAGGGCTGAGTCGCGCATCGAGGAAGCTTCTGAGCAGGCGCTTGCCAGGTGCGAGAGTCAGTCAAAAAAGTGCATCAGAAAATGCCCATGTTCAGAGGGGAACATGATGTTCAACCATCAATTTTGATGGTATTCATATATACATATATATATATATATTTGTTCAACCATCAATTCTGATGGTATTTATATTTATATATTATATTTATCTGTTTTTTCAGAGAAACCCATTTGAAGAATGCAGATGACTGGCCTATGTTGGCCCAGGTTTTCCACAAGCATGCAGGGTACGCCGGCTTAAACGACGCCATCCAATCCAGCAGTGACCAAGCGGATCAAATGGTTGAGGGTTCCCAAATATTGTTAGCGAACGCTGGTGCAAGTACTAGTAAAATCGAAATCTAAATGAGTTTGTTCTTTGATGCTGAAATCTATTCAAGATATTAAAAGCTATCATCCATTTCTCCATTTCATCCACTCAAAAGCCATTATTCACCCATGTGTGACCAGAGGCCAAAGCCACTCCATGTCGCTTGTAGGCGGCGGACTGAAGAAGAGACCTGGCACCAGACGGCGACTCGCTGTGCAGAGGTTACTGCGGATGGCGATGGGGCTGCGTTTAGTGATAGAAATTTCACGGGAAACTTGTCCCCAAAACTAAAACTATCCCAAAGTTAGCCTCCGGTATATAATTCAACATAGCTATGGAAATGAATGAACATGTCCCCTTAGGTTGGATGATTTACCTATTCAGAATGATGATTTTGTATAGCTATATGTTAAACTGCCAGAGGGTAAATATGTTGAATATATAAATGAAATCAGTAGCCATATATAATACTGTAGCGGCTTGGTCAAGCGGTGACTTGGAAGTATCTCAATTGGTTCTTAAGGAAGAATCTACGAAACCTCCTTTAGTTTTCATTGGTAAAGATCTATGTTATAAATCCATGAGGAACATGAGGAACAGCTTGTGGATCCCACAAGCTGCGCAGGCTGAAGCCGCCAAGAAGAAGCTGCAGGAACAGCTCGCAGAGGACCATCGGAATGACACCTGCTTCGGCCGTGGAAAATGGATGGAATTGTCGTGTAATGGTTTTGCGGGGGTTTCCACAAATTGTGATACCAGAAAATGGATGGTGTATAATGGAGAATCCTCTTAAATGTGGATATGCGTTTGTTAAAGAATAGGAAATTTGGAGAATCATAGTCACCATTGGATTTTGAGGTACTTATAGGTACCTTATTTTCAGACAAGGCCATTTTTAATGCTTGGTCGATTTGGTGGCACCTGTTCTCTTCAGGAACGCACCAGTTCCATGGAGCTCCGTTTGGGATCCCAAGATGACGGTCAACCCCGCGCCACAACCGTTGTAGCTGCCAGTGCTCACTGCTGAATTGGGATAAGCTGGCACATTTATTATCAATCAATGGATGTATATAAATGGTGATTTTAATGGATTTTATAAATTATGGGATGCCATCCGCAAATATGGTAAGATATATATATATATTAATAATAATAATAATATGTATATTACCCTTCGGTAGAACCACTATGCATCATCAACCATAGACATTCCCTGTATTTTGATTGACTATTTGTCTATCTTTAAACAGCTGTAAGCCCACCAACACATGTCACCTCTCCAATTTCAGTAATAAATCATTTGAACCCTGGGATTTTGCGTTGCCAGCGAGTTTAACTTTTATAATGTCCTATAGCAACCCTCAAAAATGATGGAAAAACAAGATCCAAGCAAAAAAAGACGTGAGTTATACATGATGTAGGGGATTTTTTGGTACTATAGATCCCACTCAATCTCCAAATATGCAACACATTTTTCTATTTTTATAAAGGGCTACGCAATCGATGACCCATTTGAGAGTGAACCTCGGTGCTCCAGCGACGGCAGGTTTGGAAGTTCAATCCCTGAGTCGTGGCAAGAAAGAGCTGCAGATGGAGCTGGAGAGAAGCCAGGCGATTTTTCTGTCCCCAGAAGGCCCTCGAAATGTCAACGTAGCTACAGAAAATCACTATTTTGAATAGGTAAATATGGTAAATCAACTATAAATGGGGTAAATGGGGTATTTTCAATAGCTATCTCAAATTACCAGAGGCTAAGTTGGCAGAAGTTAGCTACGTTGGTTTGGCTCACCTAGAAATCTTAGATTGACGGTTGGCTTTATGGTGACGAAATATGGGTGGCTCTGAAATTGGGGCGTACAGGCATACCCCAAAATAGTCCTGTTGGAATGAGAAAACAAGAATAATAAACCATAATAAACCATTGGATATTGAGGTGCATTATTCTCAGATAAACTTTAAATATCTTTAACTTTAAATCCATATCATGAAATATAGTGAGATGATGTTGGATGGGTTTATGGTGACCAGCCATGACCAACCTATCTGACGTATCACTCTTGAAACCTGCTGGGAAAAAGGACCTCTCAGGAAAACCAGGGATATTGCCCCCTGGGATTTGGGACAATTGGATACAATTGGGACATGGTCTGGGCCCCTGGGCAGCGGCGTGACGTTTTCGAGGCGAGCAAAGCAGAAGAACTCGACCTGGACGGTCAGAGCGGGCCTCGACAGTGGAGGTCATGGAAACTGTTGGATGCAGTGCGTGCATGTCTTGTTGCATGTTGTATATTTGTGTACGTTGGATTGTGTTGATTTGAACCCTTGGAATGTATGCTGAAGGTTGAAATCCTCGAATAATCTCTATACATATTTCATTCGCCTCATTTCAAAGCTCCAGCCCGTTTGCCAAGTATTATAAATTGACAACTGTCCAGCAAATTATCGTTGACAATTGACATGGGAAATTCCACCATCCATAGTATATATATAATATTATATATATATATATATCCGATATTATCATATTGGATCATGTCCTACCGGAACGCCGCCCACAGCTCTGAGTTGGTCTACAAACCCAGTTGGCAATAGAGATTTCTATCATAGACAGTCAATCTACTGAACTAAACCAACTTTGCTTTCTGTTTGGGGGCACCACTAATCATATCAAGTTGGTTAGGTATCCCATGAAGACCCCATCAATATCTCCTCCATTAAATATCCCTAGTCTTGATGGTAAAATCCTAGTTTTTGACGGTAAATCCATGGTAAATCATCGGCAAAATCCACATTTTTCATGGCAAAAAACCTTGGTAAAATCACCATCAAAGAGTGGTTGACCAGGCCAGACCTGGAGCGGCTGCAACGGCAGCTCTTTCGGGCCAAACAGGTGCACGAAGCGGGTGGTGATGGTTGGTTACTTCCTAGGGGCCCTAGGGTAAACTAACATTTTGGTGTGGAAAACCCACGGTTTCCGTAGGACAATGATCTACAAAGTAGGTTTTTTGCGTCTATGTTAGTGAAACATGGAGGGTAGAACATAAGATCTGGATGAAAAACTGATCATGACCTCACTGTTTCGGCCACTCGTCACTGAAACGATGGCTAGTACGGGGAATCATGTCTGTAGAAGTTTTGGGGAATCATCTCTGTAGAATGGATGAACATCACCCGTTTAATTATAGATGATTTAAATATAACAAACTGTTGGATTTCCAGAGGGTGATTGGCCCCGAAGCTGCATTTGATCGGTCTGATATTAAGCTACAAGACACACAAACACACACACACATATATATATAATATAAACATATAATGCATTTACATGCTTTATAAACGATTGCAGTAAAAGGATAGACACAAATTGATGTACATAGGAGAATACCCAAATCCTGAAAATCTTCGACCTTGGAGACGAGCGCAGGAGATTGACTCGTTGCGTGTTCGGACGCAAGTGAAGGCGATGGCTCTCCTCGGGGTCTACCCGAGCCGCCATAGCCAAAATCTGACTACTTTGGGGGCATACCGGTATACCTATATAACTTTAGACAAGGATGCATTTTTTTCAGTCATAAACCTTTTATTTATATATTTTATATTCACTTTTCATTCTATTCGTTTACCCAAATACAGGAAAATTTAGCTTGCTCCCTCGCTATCTTTGGATATGTAGGACATAAGCATCGTGCATATGATCCTGTCTTCAAGGGGTTGTCAACCTTGAAAAAAAAGGCACCAAGTCCTCGTCAATGTAAGCCTCAAAATTTGTAGGTTGTAGATTATCTGCTTGGTGGTTTGGAACATGGCTTTTATGACTTTCCATTCAGTTGGGAATGTCATCATCCCAACTGACTCATAGTTTTCAGAGGGGTAGGTATACCACCAACCAGTTATTGTAGGCTATCTCCCTTTGACATCCTATGACAACAATTGGCTGAACACGGTGAAATCACCGGCGGGTCACCGGTAACCTCCGCTGCTTCCCGGAGATTCACTGGGAACGCTGAAATCGCAGGAGTCGTTGTTGGAGCAGACCGAGGGCGAACTCCAGAAGTGGCCCGGTGATCTTTGGGCCGGTTTTGCTAATCCCATACCCATATGCTCAATGTATGGTATATTTACCTACATTTGGGTATTTCTTGGGGCAAATGTTGGTAAATATTCCAGCACCATGGAGCATATGGGATATGGTGGTTTCCATAAATGGAGGTACCCCAGATGATCTAGGGGTACCCCTATTTCAGGAAACCTCCATATGTTTATATTAAAAAAATGGGGGAGAGGATCTGATGATGTGAGAATTCGGGATAAACCATCCCCGGTTGTTGCTATGATAAACACCACATGAAAAGGCTGTGCAAGGGCGGGGCCCATAGATGCAAAAAGGGCTGGACAATCTGGACATTTATCTACCTATCTATATGAAAATCTCTATCTATCTTTGCCTACTTTGTCGTTCTACCTCTATCCATCTCTATCCATCTCTATCTATCTTTTTCTATCTCTATCTGTCTCTATCCATCTTTATCTATCTCTATCTATGTGAGTCTCTTTGTTTCTATCTCTATCTATGTCTATCTCTATGTCTATCTCTATGTATCTCTGTACCTGATCTAATCTAAATATAAACTATATAAATCTAAATCAAATGAAACCAAATGAAAACAAATCTAGTCTGTCTATCTATCTATCCATCTAGTTGTCTATCTATCTATTTATCTATCTAGTTGTTTTTTTGCTGCGATCTGAGAATCTTGGCCTGTACCCACATGAATCTTCTATTGCATCTTTTGTGTGTTTTGTCAGCGAGATCCTCGTGGTAGCTGATCGATCAAACTAACAGATGAATGGCGAATCCTACATTTGATCACCATGTTCTCCATGAAAATGGCCATGCCATGGGTTAAGTCATGGCATCAAATCATATTGTTGGTCTTATACTGGTCTTATACCCCATGGGGATATCGGGTTGATATTTCATAGGGATATTTTTTGTTTTCAATACCCCATAGTCAAGTCGATGTGTTTTTTCAATGAAATTTCAAGTTTTCGGAATCCCCAAATCATATCAGTATTTTTTGATAAATAAATTAAAAAGTATACACACACACATATATATATATATACACATTGTATTGTGTATATATATATATATGTGTGTGTGTGTGATTATATGTCAATTATAAATCCCCAAAAATATCACAAAAAAAAACGACCCAGGAACGTGCGCAGACTGGGCGAGTTGTCGGCAGAGAAGGTGCATTGGTTCTCGTTCTAGGAAACTGTAGAAAGCATCTGGGAATATCTGGGATAGATAAATGGTGTTTAATGGTATTGAATGGTCTTTAATGGTGTTTAATGGTCTCACAGAGACAGCGATGGAGAGAGAGAGAGAGAGAGGTGTTTAATGGTGTAGATTAATATCGATTAATGGTGTTGAATGATATTTAATGATATTGAATGGTATTTAATTGTGTTCACACTGGGGTAGTATTGTATATTACTGGGATATTTTTGTTAATAGCCTCCGGAAATTCAAGAGTTTGTGAAGGAAAATGGTCCGCTTGTAGATGATGGTATGATGATTTATCTATAAACAACTTGTGTTTTTTTTGGCCAGCAACTGTCGATTTTACCAACCACATGCCCTTTGGTAATCTAACAGTTGGTTTTATTGGGAAGTTTTTTTTTGGTTTTGGGGCAGTTGGATGTTTGATTTTCATTGAAATTCATCTCAAGATTTGTGCATGATTCAAACCATGATGTGGGTTTGTCAAATAGATTGCATGACCCCATTTCAACCACTGCTGGTGCATCATCATTTTTCCTAATAATAAAACCGCTATGTAAATTGCAATCATATCCATCATTTTCAGACAAACCCATGCATTATATTATATTGTTGGTTATCTATCAACATATTTCAGTGTGTATCCACTATTATATCCAGTATTTGCCAGTGTACCCGCATGGTATTCCCAATGTATCCCCACAAAATTGTTCGTTCAATCCCCCATCAAATTGTTATATCTCCATGAAGCTCCCATTTCGTCCCCACATTGTTGGTTACAACCCCCCCCTGAACCTTCGAAAAAACTTGGTTCACCCGAACAGGCCCAGCTCCAATGGGAAGCAGCTGAGCAAGGCCTGAGTTTGCCATAGAAAATGGCCATGGAAATATTAGGGAAATCATCCATGGCCATGGTTAGCTGTACATGGCTATGTTGAATTACCGGAGGGATCTGGAGGGTATAGCTTTGTGTTTTTTCTTTTGAATCTATAATATCCAAGTATGGGGTTTCCTGAAACCAATTATTGCTGGTGCCATGAGATAAATATAGATAAGGCATAGCCACCGGGAAAAGACAAAGAGAAAAACATCACCAAAAAACGTAAGTGTTAGAACATTTTAAATAGAAAATCAAGACATCAACATCTCAAGAATGATTTCAAACAGGGAAAGCACTGATGCAGTGCCCCTGATTTTGAAACAGCTGCCGCCGCTGCCCTAGGCAAATCTGAGCTGCAATTAAGACAGCGGCTGCAGACTGCCGAGGTGTCGCGACACCTCGGGGGGTAACGGATCCTCGGCAAACCCCGTGGTCTTCCCTAGCTCGAACTGGGGGCATGCACGTCACTCAATGAAGAAAAACATAGAAACAATCATTTACTTACATGTGTAATTACATAGATGATTTTCCGAACGCAAAACCATAGGTTTTCCACATCTATCTTGGTTTACCCTAGGGTATCATGTTCTGGATCAATGAAACACTGTGCGGTTTATTGAGCCGGATTCCAGTTCGATGGCCTCTAACCCAGCCATCCTAGCCAGGATTTTCAGAGTTGGTTTTGCCGGGAACATGTGTATTTTTTTCAAACCCCTAGACCAATTTTGAAGGCAATACCATGCACAAACCCACAGTGAATCTCCAATATTTTCTGGTTATCCTCCAATGTTTCCCATAAATCATCTAAATTCATGGGTTTATCATGGGTTTATCATGGGTTTATCATGGTTTATCATGGGTTTATCATGGTGTATCACCCACATGTCCTATAGATCCACCGGCGAACGGGACGCTAAATTTTGCAGCGCGAGGCGAAGCTCTTGGAAGCCGTGCGGGAGAACAGGCGCGAGAAGATGTGTGTTTTTTGTTGATGTAGATGAGTGAATCAATGTGATTAAACGCACATTAATTTTTACGTACTGCAATACACACGCATGTTACATATATACATATATATATATAATATGTATACATACTATTTCATACTACACACACATATATATATATGTATATTAGATATATTAGATATGATGAATCTCCATCATTCTCTTCCATCATTCTCCATTGGTAGCTCGGTATACCATCCATCCATCTCCATGCCCCCTTGAGCCAAGGGCAGAAGGGGAAGCCAGCTTCTTGCTGGCTGAAAGCAAGAAGCAACTGGCCACGCTGGAAGATAGTAACAGATCCTTAATCGAAGGCGCTGCATGGAAGGGGACATGGAAGGAGGGGAAATGTGGAACTGTGAGAGGCAATGTGACGTGTTTGTTTGTCCTTCCTCTCATAGTCATAATGATCCCACGCTGATTGCCACTGCGAATTGAAGTGTTGACCAGTCCCGCAGGCCTGGAATGGGAAAAGGCAGCCTACAGCTCAGCTCAGCCACTTTTGGAAGTGAGCTTGGTAACCTGGTGGGTTTCCTAAGTCATAGGGGTAACCGGGTGACAGTTTCAGCCCTTGGATTGACATGTTGCCTTCCACTATCCATACATAGATGTCTTGCTCTGCGTATGTTCAAACTAGGCCGACAGCTGGCCCTTTACGTGCGTGGTGTGCCATGGAAAACAGCAGGGTCTGAGTGTGGGGCAGCATCCACATTCCTTTACCTTGTTGTCAGCGAGCCTTTGGGAATTCCTTTCAACTGTTTGGTTGACCAGTATCTTATCTGCTCACTCCGCTACCAGTGATCAATCGACACTGGTAGCGGAGCCTGGACGATAGTGGGACCACAAAATGGGTGACGAACCAAATCCGCGTTTGCCTAGTTGGAGCGGAGACTGGGCGACGTTCAAAGCGTTTGAAACCCGAGTGAGCCTAGAAATCGATGGTACCAAGAAGGAAGATCGGGCCTTGTTGGGTCCGAGGATAGCCAAGAACCTGTCTGCCAAAGCTTGGGAGATGCTCGAGACCGTGGATCGCGAAGCACTTAGAGCTGAAAATGGAGCAGACTATCTGGTGAAGTTCCTCAAGGATCAAAGAGGCAAAGACAAAGTGGATCTCCTTGGAGATGCAATGAGAGATCTACTACACAAGACTGATGCTCAGAGAAATGATGGGGAGGAAGTGATGGACTACCTCCCGAGGTACAAGACCTATGTCAAAGCCATCCAAACTGCATTTGAAGAGATCAACAAGAAAGACGCCATGCCTGAGGAGTTCTTTGGATGGCACCTCTTGACCGTAGGGGTGCGCCTTGATCCGTCGGATGTGGCCAATGTGAAAGCCAAGGCAGGTGGATATGGGCTTGACAAGGTGGAGAACACCCTCAAGCTGATGTGGAGTGGGGGTGGCTTAGCACAGAAGGATGCAGAACGAAAGAAAATGAAAAACATCGGAAAAGGGTATCTGAGCTATGAAGAGCAAGCCACTTCTGGCATCTACGATGCTGGTGAGTATGACGAGGAGATCCTGGATGACGATGATCAAGAACAATTTGCAGACTTGGCCAACCAACTGGCTGAGGAACCTGAGGATGAGGCCCTGATGATTGCATATCAAGATGCCAAGAAGAAAATGCAGTACCGTGATGCTCGACGGATGCTGGCAAACTCCAGAGTGGCAAGAGATTTCTACCCTGTCAAGAGGGGTGGAAAAAGCAATCATGAGAAGGGCATGGGAAAAAGGTCAATTCCAGAGTTCAATGGGGACTGCATGCGTTGTGGAAAGTATGGTCACAAAGCCCGTCACTGTCCCCAGCGAGAACAAAAACAAGATTCTGGAAAGGGCAGTGCTCACTTTGCTGATGGTTCCCAAGCAGAGACTAGCTATGTCTGTGTGGAAAATGTGCATGTGGGAAACATCTACGCAACAGGAGCGACCAATGTCGACTTCAAAGCAATCCTAGACTCAGGTGCCTCTGAGACCATAGTGGGGGTTGACACTCTCCAAGACCTATGGACGGTGTTGGAAGAACTGGGTTTTGATGCGAGAAAGGAAATTATCATCGACCGGGATCTTCGCAAGACCTTCGTCTTCGGAAACAGTGCGACAAGTGAAGCCATCGGACTGGCCAAAGTGACAGTGGGTCCCTTTGGCCAAGAGAAGCAAATTGAAGTACATGTGATCGAAGGATCAGCACCACTTCTCCTGTCTTCAAAGTTCATGTACGAGAACAACATCGTGGTTGACTTCCGTGAAGGATTGGTGACCATGAATGAACCAGGACCAGAGGAAGACATTCAGTGGACGAAGCTGGAACGAGCTCCAAGCTACCACCTGATGATGTCAATCCTTGACTTTCCTGGACGCCTGAAGAAGGAGAACAAAGAAGACCACGAGATGATGGAGGACAACGGTCTTGGGCCTATGAGATCACGCACCAGTAATGAGGGTCAGCTGAGCGAGTAGGGACAGCTCCACCTGGGTGTCAATGGACAAGGTAGGAAAACCCAGAGTGGTAGTTGTTTAGTAGCCTACCAAGAGAACATCCCTGAAAGTGTACAGAAGGGTAGTGAGGGGTCTGAGGAAGGTTTCTCAGAGAAACAACATGAATCACATGAACATGATTGTGTTGTGTGTGAGAGCGGTTGTCAAGGTGGGACTTTCCTGAACTCTAGCATGAAGAAAGAGCTGTCGAAACACCATGAACAGTTGAGTCACGACACGATGGAAGCTTGGTTTCAACTTATTGGTAGAAAAGTCGATCTCATTGAAATTTGCACTACTTGGGATTCCCCGTTGGGAAAAGCGGTTGAAGAGAAGGGTGGAGTTGTTTTTCGGATGGGACCCCACAATGGTTTTGATTTAACCAAAAGAGAGGGTTTCCTGAAAGCGTGTTATGTCCTTCGGAAGTTGAAACCCCGAAACATTCATCTGTCTCCCCCTTGTTTCCCCTGGTCTCAATTTCAAAATCTAAATCAAAACACACCAGAGCAATGTGCTGACTTGGAGGAAAAGAGACACATGGGACGCAGGATTTTTAAACATCTTCTTCGACTTGCTGAGATTCAATTTCATGAGATACAAGGTGACATCAGTGGTGAACAACCATGGAAAGCTTCGTCCTGGCGTGAGAAACTGTGGGCAGCCCTGGCCAAAAAGGCAGGGGGCCGGTTCCGAGTCGACGGCTGTAGATTTGGATTAAGGGACCCCAAAACCACGAACCTTATGCTTAAGGGATGGGGATTTTTTGCGACCAAAGCTGAGCTAAGAAAAGCTCTGTCTCTGACCTGCAATCACCCACATGATCACCATGTGAGAATCGAAGGCAGGTTAACTGCGCTGTCCGCTGTCTATCCAGAGAGACTGTGTACAGTTTTTGCAGAAGCAATTTTGAACCATGAAACGGCCTACAAACAGTTGTGTGTTGATGTTTATCGTGGGTTTTCCTTTTGTGGTGCTGTTGGTGATGGTGATGTTGTTGTTGATGGAGTTTTTGATGATGATGATGAGGGCCCAATACCTGAAGAACCTGCCAACGAACCCCCCGAAAATCCTGAAAGAGAGGGCTTTGGGGAGAGTGGGGATAAGGATGGCAGTGAAATCAATGGGGTGAACTCGGAAGAATGGAAACTTCTGCATAAGATTCACCGAAATTTGGGACATCCAAATGCCAGCAGTCTACAGAAACTTTTGAGACAGGCTGGCGCTCCGTCCAAGTTTATCCACGCTGCAGGAAAACTGCAGTGTGAAGTTTGCATCAAACAAGCACAGAGGAAACCTGTGCTGCCATCAACAACGTGTGCCCCTCAAGTGAAGTGGGACACAATTTCCGTGGACACCTTTTTTTGGCAAAACCCGTGCAATGACAAAGAAGGAAATGAACGACACCTGCTGGGGATTAGCTACTTTGATGAAGCGACGGACTTACATGTAGCTAGCATTGTTCGGGAAGGGAACCAGCTGCAGGGGAGTTTGCGTGCCGAAGAGTTCAAAGAAAAGTTTTTAGAAGATTGGTTGCGATGTCTTCCGAAACCCAAAATGGTTCGTGTTGATACTGAGGGTTGTTTTCGAAGTGATGATTTGAAACATTGGTTGGAAGAAAATATGATTCAAATTGTTCCTATTGCGGGTGAAGCGTACTGGCAAGTGGGAAAGCACTCGAGGCATCTCCACACCTTGAAACAACAGATGTCAAAACTGGCTGCTGACTTGGGAAACGAAGTGGGAAACAAAGAGATCCTGGCACTCAGTGTGTCAGCCAAGAATGAGGTCCACCAAATCAAGGGATATTCCCCAAATCAATGGGCTTTTGGACAAAACAGCGATAGGATGTTTTCTACCTTGAACTGTTATCAACATCTTCCGAACATGAGTAGTCAAAATCCCAGCTTTCATGAAAACATTGCCCGTATGGCGAAAGCGAGAGAAAAGTTCATTCAAGTGGACAGTCATAGGAAGTTGGAACGTGCTGCTTTGTTGAAGACTCGGAAACAACAAACCTTTGATGTTGGTGATTTGGTGTACTATTTTCGAAAGGGTCGAGGTCGAGGTGCCAAACAAAGGGGTCAATGGCATGGTCCTGCGAGAGTGTTGTTTGTTGAAAAAACCACTAATGAAAAGAGGAGTTACACGGGTTCTATTGTGTGGATTGGTCATGGTTTGGTTTTGTTGCGTTGTGCTCCTGAACATCTTCAACATGTTAGTCGGGATTTGAGAGCTATTGATGAAGAAATCAATGGTCCCTTTTCGCCTGATGAGTTTCTTAAGGGGAAACATTTGTATCAAGATTTGTTTGGGGAAAGGGATAATATTGAAGAAGTGGCTACGGGAGGTGATGACAATGCGTGGTTGTATGATCCCAACAACATGGAAATGCGAAAAGATGAAAGCATGGAAACCCATGAACCAGGCCCTGAGAAAAGATCTCGGCTCAATTTCAAACAAGCAATTCGAAGCGAAGTCATCGACCGTGTGGTTGGACAACCCAGCAATGGAGAATCTGGCCGAACGAATCAAGATGCTCAACAAGGAGAAGGTGAACCCAGAGTTGAAGGACTACCAGAAAATGTCCCTCGAGCAGTTGGGCAAGATCGTTCATCGCAAAGGGACGACACACACCGGCAAGACCTACAACCAACTATGGGAGAAGGAAGGAGACTATTGCCAGTGGGTGGCGAATCGCATGAAGGACGAGGGAGATTGGAAGCCATTCCTCCATTTTCTTCGTCTGAAGGCGGACGCCGTCGAGAAGGAGATGGGCAAAGGAGACCAGAAGAAGAAGAACAAGGAGAAGCCAAAAGCAGCTTCCAGCCTATCCGACAGTCCCAGCATGTCCAGCGAAGAGAATGGCTGGAGTCCAGTGCCAGTGGAAGACCAAGGAGCTTCCAACCAAAATATCGAGAACATGATGAACCAGATGGTGCAGGTGATGAACAACCTGAGCGAGCGTCTGGCGAATCTCGAGGTGGCTCAGCAGCAGCATCAGGGCATGATCGTGCAGGGCTACCAGAACCAGCCACAGTGAGCGATGATCCGCACAGTTCTCACAAACGAGCATTGAGTGGTTCGCGTGCGCCAGGACAAGGGACTGACAAAAGAAACAGGGTTAACTTTTGTGAACCACAAGAAGTTTGTGAGATTGTTTTAAACATTGGACCCAAAGATGTTCACTATCAACGAAAAGGAAAAGAAGGGTGTTGGATGGTGAATCAAAAGGCAAAACGAGGTGCTGAGGTGAATTTCCGTGAACTCACTAGTGAAGAACAAGAACAATTCAAGATGGCCAAACAAAAGGAAATTGACTCATATATGGAAAGGGCTGCTGTTGATATTGCCACGAAAGTTGGAGTTGATGAAGAAAGGGTTATGGGGATGAGATGGATTTTGGTTTGGAAAAATGAAGTCAATCAAGATGGAGAAGTTGTAGGAAGAAAACCAAAAGCGAGACTGATTATCAAAGGATTTCAGGATCCAGATCTCCTCAAAATCGAAAGGGATGCTCCAACGTTAAGTACCATTGGACGAAACCTGGTCTTTGCTATCACCAGCAAACGAAGATGGAAGATGGCTTTGGGTGACATCAAGACTGCCTTCTTGAATGGTGATGACACTGAGTATGCTCGGCAGATATATGGGGAACTTCCTGATGATGTTAAACAATATCTTGGGATGTCTGAAAAGGAACTTTTCCGGATTCGTAAAGCCATATATGGGTTACTCAATGCACCACGAAAATGGGTTGAGAAACTGTGGAAAGAATTGAAAAAGGATGGTTGGATTCAAAGCACCTTGGAACCGTGTGTCTGGCGTTTGTTTTCCAATAATGAGTTGGTTGGACTGTTGGGGATTCATGTGGATGACATTGTTACTTCTGGTGAAGGTGAATTGTACGAGAGTAAAATCAACAATTTGAGAAATGCCTTTCCTTTCGGGTCATGGAAACATGTTAGTGATGAAAAAGCGGTTTTCTGTGGTTGTGAACTTCATCAAACCAAAGATGGATGTTTGTGGTTGGGTCAAGAACAATATGCTTTGGGTTTAAATGAAATTCCCCTTCAACAAGATAGAAAAAGGGATGAAACGTCAAACGCCACCGAAACGGAGAAGAAAAGCATGAAAGGTCTCTTGGGAGCAGTTGCTTGGCGAGCCAACCAATCAGCTCCGTGGCTGTCAGCCACGACTTCTATACTCCAAGGAAGCACTCAGAATGCCACTGTCAAAGAACTGTTGTTGTGTAATAAGTTGTGTCGTTTTCAACGAGCGAAATCTTCTGTTGGTTTGCATTTTTCGAATCAGATTCAACAAAGTGTTGTTATTACTTTCTCTGATGCCAGTCATGCAAATAGATATGATGGGGCGTCACAAGGTGGCTCTGTGACAATTTTGGCTGATGCCCGGATCTTGAATGGGGAGAAATCGGAATTTTCAGTTCTGTCATGGCATAGCAAAAGACTAAAGAGAGTGTGCAGATCGTCAACAAGTGCCGAAATCCAGGCTTGTGCAAACGCGTATGATGAAAATGAATTTGTTCGTCAACTTCTTTTTGAATTCGAAAGCCCCCAAGGGATTCAGGCAGCGAACTCTGACGAAGCAGTTGCAAGCATCTTGGCAGCAGTGGTGTGTGATGCAAAGAATCTTTATGATTCTGTCACTCGTATATCCTCTTCAGGGTTGCAAATGGAAGAAAAACGGTTGTGTTTGGAAATCCTTTCTATTCGTGAACGGGCCTTATGTACGAATTGTCCTTTGAAATGGGTGAACAGTGACCAACAAATTGCGGATGATACCACGAAAATGTTTGAGGTTGATAAATTGTTGAGTTTACTCCATCGTCGTGAAGTGGGATTGGTTTTTGATGGCTCTTTTACTTCTGCGAAGAAGAGGAGAAAAGAAAATGCTGCACAAAAGAAACCTTCCGAAGATCAACATGGACAGTGGAAGCAAGAAGAAGTTTTGATGTGTGACAGTTTCAGCCCTTGGATTGACATGTTGCCTTCCACTATCCATACATAGATGTCTTGCTCTGCGTATGTTCAAACTAGGCCGACAGCTGGCCCTTTACGTGCGTGGTGTGCCATGGAAAACAGCAGGGTCTGAGTGTGGGGCAGCATCCACATTCCTTTACCTTGTTGTCAGCGAGCCTTTGGGAATTCCTTTCAACTGTTTGGTTGGCCAGTATCTTATCTGCTCACTCCGCTACCAGTGATCAATCGACACGGGGTAACCCTAAATCATCAAGGTTTTATGTGGGATTTTCTATTATAAACCATCCAGCTATGGTGATCCCCCATTTGTGGAAACCTCCATATGTCAAACCACCAAGGAGATTAAGAGATCCAATTTTCGTGCCTTTTTTGTATTTTTTTGTTAGTGGGATTGAAACACCGTTTTCAGGGATGACTGGCAATTTATATACACCCACTTTCCAGGTTTGATATGGTTCTATCTATCATGTTCTATCATAGGTGTTATTTTTTGATGAAACAGTTGTCCAAAGTGCACCTTCGGCTTCGAGGAAGTTCAACGCTTGAAGTCAGAGGTGCAACGTCTGGATCCTCGGGCGTCGCGGTTGAGCGGAATGCGTGAGACATCGTAGACCCATTGAATCCCATTTGGATCACAAATTCCTGGCTGGTGGTTTGGAACATGGCTTTTATTTTTCCATGTATTGGGAACAATAATCCCAACTGACTCATATTTTTCGGAGGGGTTGAAACCACCAAATTGATCCAAATTCCAATTGGATTGCAGTGAGTGCATTTTGGACACCCAAGCAGATACAGACACAGCAGATACAGAATCTGTTGTGTCTGTTCAGATCCCCATGTTCCACAGATCTTTTTTCCTGCCCTCCCTGGGCTCGAAACACTGAGGTGTTTCGCAAGAGCGTGGGGTGGCCCAGGGAATTGCCGCAATGAGCCCAGAAAGAACAAAATCAACTGGAAAAAATAGCAACCACCACGCAGGCGGGATTTATGCACCAGAAATCGGCGATTGATGAACTTGGAAATTTTAGACGACAACTCTCCCCGATGGTGTTCCCATTAAAACTCCATTTGGAAAGCAGTTTTACGTACTACAATTAAATCATCAATTTCTGGTTCATTTTCCATTCATTTGTGTCCTTTTTTTGGGATTTATTTCACATCACCTTCAACTATTTGTTGGAGATTATATCCCCAATGGCTGGATGTTGTTCAATTGGGACATTTACATACATTTACCAACCTCTCAATAAAATTGCATTTATATCACCATGTGTTATATACCATCATGTTTGTGATAGACATATTATTTTTATTAACATCACAATCACAGGGTGGTACTTCCCAGTTAGAAGCTGGTTTATACTCCACATTAACTATATAGATATACTCTCAACAAAACCCAAACCTTATTGGAATTATACAGTTTCTTCATGACATCCTGTTTGAATATTAAATAAATAAATACATACATATCATAGATATATTACCACCACCAGATCAATTTAAACCCAATATGGACATATAGATATCATTGATATCATATATAGATCCATATCGATATTAATGTATTATTAATGTCTTATCTAATCCTTCAATCCCCCCAGCTTAATATCGCTGGTTTTTAGGCGATCTTTGTCGTGCCCGGGAAGTGGAGTTGGTGGAAGCGGAGTCGAAATCACAGCCACTGGGACCACTATGGACCACTGGGACCTCGGTAGGAGTCAAAGTCTGGAGAAATCTGAAGGTGAAAATCTGATTGTATTGGTGATTTAATATTTGATTTAATGGGGTTAAAAATGGTGATTTATATATATATATATACTGTACTGGGATTTCATGGTGATTTACCCTCTGGTAATTTAACGTAGCTATGGAACAATCCACCATTTTTGATGGGAAAAATCACTATAAATGGCCATTTTCAATAGCTATGTTAAATTACCAGAGAGTAATATCTGATTTAATGGGGTTTTTATGGTGATTTATATACTGGGATTTCATGGTGATTTACTGGGACTTAAAGATGTTAATGGTGATTTAATGGTGATTTAATGGGAGTTAGTGAATGCTAATGGGAATTCATAGTGTTCAAGCAGCAACCATGGTGATTTTGGAATGGGTCAAAACCCATGTTTTCCTATATTTGGAGGAATAGACATAGATTTTTTCAAGCTATTTTAGGGCACCTAGGGTTTCATGGTTTTGACTCATAGCCATATGGATACCCTAGGGTAAACATACAAAAAAAAGATGTGGAAAACCCATTGGGAAAGCCGTTCGGAAAATGATATCAACCATGTTCTGGGGATATTGACTGGGATATTTCCTGGGATATGCTTGGAATATTTATTGTATAAAATGTGGATACATTAACGGTATACCAACCGTTAGCAGTGGTCAGAATATGGAGAACAGATGGATGAAATATGGCAACACGTGGGTTTCATGGGGATTTCACCAACCTCACCTCGCGACGTCACTGTAAATAGCCCAGATTTTTGTGGATTCAACGTGTGCCACGCTCCATGGTCAAAGGTTAGAGATATTTATAGATCCTGTTTTTGGGGGATGGGTTATAACATGTTGTACTACATACTGGGCAAACGAATTTGCCCATCGTAATGGTTTCTGAATTCTGATGGGATGACAATATCAACAATACCATGTTTTGACCATAGTACGTATGGTTCTGTAATGGTGTTATATGTTGTACTATGATGCAATATGTTCTTAAATGCTGAACATGATCCAACACACTATAAGACTGAAACTGACATGCATATAAGTCATATAAGCATATGTATATATATATATATGCAAATATGTACATATATATATATATACACACTGCATATAATATTATATAGATATATAAGTCATATGTCCGGACATCATGTGTATAGACGTAAACATTATGTGCATATATTTCAGATCCCTTGGGCTCTCCCTTCCTGTTTGCCCAAGGAATGCTTGGCAATAGATCAATAGAATTCAATAGAACAACGTAAATCAGGTGATGTTTGTTGGATTTTGTGATCGCAAAAGTCATGTTTTTCCAGTTTTTCGACCTACCCCTAAGGTGAAACACCAAAAATAGATGTGGAACACCCACGGGGAAATGATCTGCAAATGGTGATGGGTTTTCCACGGGAGGTTTGATTTGGCTGTTTGGAACCTAGGATTCCCTTGTAAAAGGAGATAACTACCATAGGGTCTTCCTCCCAACCACCAACCCCAAACCACCAGCTAACTATTGGTTGAAATAGGCCATTAGCTACAACTATTCTCTCCACGAAAGCCTAGACATGGACTGAGGGGCACACTTCGGAGACTGCAACGCGAGTCTTCTGATCTCAAAGCCTGTTCTGTCCTCGGCAAATGCAGTGGTGGTTTTGATCATTTTCGGAAGTAAGCTTTGTTGTTGGGTGGTGAAGGTCATTGGTTCCTAAACTCTAGACGCAATGATTGCTGCACGTTCAAACTAAAAAAGGACTCCAGTTGCACCTTTCTGTTGGGTCAATTTCAGTGAATTTGTTTCAATTTGAAGTAATTGAAGGTCAAAGATAAAACGGCATTCTCGCTGCCGCTTAGTCACGTCCACTTCGGGTATCGTGTGAGCCGCTGCCAGTTCTCCTCGTCGTCCTTCGCCATGGGTCGCTGGTTCGCGCTGGGTTTCTTGGCCACTGCCAGTGGCAAGGTCTACTTCTCCGAGACCTTCGGCAGCGGTTGGGAAAATCGATGGACCTCCAGTGAGTGGAAAAAGAGCGATGGCACGCAAGGCACCTGGAAATTATCGCCGGGCAAGTGGTACAAGGACTGGGCCTCTCCGGGGCCTTGAAAATGGATAGACATGGATAGACAATGATAAACATAACCTTCTATATTTACAACATATATATATATATTATATATATATACACTGTATATATATATATAAATATCGATTTTGGTTCGATTGATTTTGACTGGAAATGCCAGCCTTGAAGATCGAGATTTTGAAGCCACAAAGATATTGTGCGATATTTTGGGCACATGCCAGATACGGAAATACAGCAATGGGCCAAAACCAAGCACCAGAAATGAAAAGGCGAACCTGCTGCTGAAGCGTTTTTGGGATGTTCACCGGTCTCATGTTTTAGCTTTCAGTAAATACTCCAATCATAGATCATATATGGAAAATCCACCATGAAAGATCATGAAAGATCATGAAAGATCATGATCATTTGTTCATATTTATTCATTTCCTAGAGAAATCCATGGGATTTCCGTCGCTCCGAGTGTTTTGAAAAAAAACGACACTCGGCTCCCAGGACGAGTCCGAAGATCAGGGAATCCAAACCGCGGAGGATTCGCGTTTCTTTGGCTTGTCTGCGGGCTTCGACTCCTTTAGCAATGCGGGCAAGGACGGGGTTCAACGGTTCAACGTATATTTTTGTTGATTTATTCGTATGGCTTGGTGTTTTGGTGTTGTTGTTGTTGTTGTTTGGTGTTGGTATAGCTATCATGAAGTTGATTTATGTATATATTTTATGTATCTAATTCATTCGAGATTTTTGCAGTAAGCGGTCTCAGAGTACGAACTCAGTTGGCACACCAGAAATGGCAATCAAAAGACACGTTTCACAATTTAAGTGGTTCCATGCATAATCCGGGTGCCAATTTCTTAGAATAACTTTGATTTGGGTCAGTGATTTGTCACGTAGCCCCAAACCAGCCCCATTTCCTGGTTCAATATTTCATTTCTGGGTTAGGTCCCTATGCCAGGAGCTCATCATCCAGTACCAGGCCAAATATGAGAAGGACATCGAATGTGGTGGCGGCTATGTCAAGGCAGGGCCCCGGGTGGGGATGGGGAGTCACTGGGTCGAAGCCATTGAGGACTCGGAAAAGAGCATCGAACAAAATGGGGGAATTATATAACAGTGGTTTCATAAACTTCCAATATCTTCCAATGATATCTAAAAGTGATACACAATATATATATATATACACACGGTATATTTTCATCATGACAGACAATGGGCCAACAGTCAACATCGGATGTTGAAGATATTACTTGATGCTTTTCGACAGAAAACTGGCCCCGACGGATCGCAGCGAGGTAGGTCCAAAGCTCAGCGATCCAACGACTTTTGGAGATCCCACACCTTACAACATCATGTTTGGGCCCGACAAGTGCGGCTACACCAAGCGTGGCTTGGTGGCGAAGCGATGTATTTTTTTTTTTGGATTGATGGCTGCACACTGGGTTTGAACATGTTTGAAGATGGGGTTGTAACATGTTTACTTGAAACGGTCGCCTCTCAAACCAGAATCAACACGCGGTTTGTCAAGCGGCGTAGTAGATTTTACAGAGACTGACCGGGGAACCAACACAGTTTGGAGGCGGAGTCAGATATGGTAGTATGACCAGGTACCCACCTGATCTTCAACTACAAGGGCAAGAACGTGCTGAAAAAATCCGACTTGGCTTACAAGCAGGAGGGTGACGGTACTTCCCATGTCTACAGGTTAGTCTTGAAGCCGGACAACACGGCTCGAGTGGAGATTGATGGCGAGAAGATCTATGAAGGATCTCTGAAAGAGGATTGGGAGTTGCTAGCCCCAAAGGACCGGCTGAAACGGGACCCAGCTCCGTGATGACCTCTGCGAACTGCAGGTAAACCATGGTAAACCCAGTATTCATGACCTTTAGATACCTTTAGATACCTTTAGGGCGTTGGCAGATGCTTCGCCGCAGTTTTTTTTCTTCATTACATCCACATCTCCAAGAATTGGTTCAAGGATGCAACCCCCATCCGATGCTCTATGCTAAACACCAAGGTTTCTCGCAGCATTTTTCTTAAGTCAACCCAGCCATCCAGCTATGCCTGCTATGCCTGCCGCGAGGAGATCAAAGACCCGGAGGATAAGAAGCCCAGTGATTGGGTGGACGATAGTATGATGGACGATCCCGAGGAGAGATAGCTGTTGAGTTGGATTCAAGGATGTTTACTATTGTTTGTTTGTTGAAAAACATGGAGAACTGAGAACCAATGCCGAAGAATGGAATTGAATAATGCAATTCTGACAGGGACAACCATGAGAAATGGATAAATATATAGAAATATGAAGGACAAATACCCGAAAATGCGTGAAACATGCAAATCAGACCAGGGACCAACTGGACAAACATGATTTTGCACAAAAATGCTAAAACCCAGGTAACGATGGTAACGGTAAAATGCAGAAAAATGCGAAGCATTTTTGTTTGCAATATTGATGTTCATTTATTTATATAGTATTATTATTTTTTTTGCATTGTTTTTTATTTTAACATATTTGTTACATGTTTTGGTCATTTTTGATTTTCAAATTCGTTGCAATACATGGTGCATTTTCCTAACACCCCGAGGACAAGAAGCCCGAGAACTGGGTCGAGGAGAAGCGAATTGTGGACGAGAAGGCGAAGAAACCCGACGACTGGGATGATGAGGAAGACGGTCCCTTGGCGACATGGCGACATGTCCAGTTGAGACTGGAGAATCATGAGAATACCCCAGTTGGTGCAAGATATGGCAAGCATAAGATATCCCAAGATATGGCAATTTTAAGAGGGCCAATGATGATAAGACATGATCATGATTTATGTATATATCACGAAAGATAGCGTCAGCTAGCTGGAGTCTTCTTGCTTTAGCAAGTATTGGGGGGGGCTGCTCAAGGACATCACGTGATTTTTCACGTGAAAAGGGCCCCCCCCCTCCCCCCCTCCCCCCCCCCCTCCCCCCCCCCTCCCCCCCCCTCCCCCCCCCCCTCCCCCCCCCCCTCCCCCCCTCCCCCCCCCTCCCCCCCCCCCCCTTCCCCCCCCCCTCCCCCCCCCCCCTCCCCCTCCCCCCCCCACCACAACCACCACCATGCCCCATCTCATCATCATCATCCTCATCGTCCTCGCCATCGTCATCGTCATCGTCATCGTCATCATCATCGTCATCGTCCTCGCCATCGTCCTCGCCATCGTCATCGTCATCGTCATCATCATCATCATCACCACCATCATCATTCATCATTCATCATTCATCATCGTCATCATCATCGTCATCGTCCTCGCGATCGTCCTCGTCATCATCATCATCATCATCATCCATCATTCATCATTCATCATTCATCATTCATCATTCATCATTCATCATTCACCATTCACCATTCATCATTCATCATCATCATCATCATCGTTATTCAATTACAATTTATCATTATTGGCAATTATTGGCATTATCACGAAAGCTAGCGTCAGCTCGCTAGAGTCTTCTTGCTTTAGCAAGTATTCCGGGGCTCCCCAAGGACATCACGTGATTTTTCACGCGTAAGGCCCCCCCCTGCCCCCTTCCCCATATATATCATTGTTATATATCATATATCATATATCATTGTTGCATCCTCGTTGGGACGAACAATGCCGCGACACGATGATGACAGTCCCTCCGCAACTCACCTCTTCCCTTCCTTCTTTCTCCTACCCCGCTAGCTTTCGTCATCCACCCCCGGCCTCAAGTATATATATATATATACAGTATTATATTTCATGTATATACCTGTAAGAACCATGACATCCATGTTTTAGACCAAGCCGTGCAAGTGGGAGCCCCAACTATCTTTCCACCAGTTGATCTCAGCACTAGCTGGGATGATCCGGTGAAAGGTGAATGGGAGGCACCCATGATCGACAACCCTGAGTACAAGGGCGAATGGACAGTGAAGCGTATCAGCAACCCCGCCTACAAGGGCGTTTGGGAGGCCAAGAAGATCGCGAATCCTGAGTTCGTGGATACTTGGCGTGTTGCAATCCTGGTATGTCCAGTACTGCCACCAAACCATCGGGACGACGGATAGAAAATATATAGTTTATGGAATATCCTCAGTCGGCTGATTTTTTTGGACTGGCGGAGCCAGGAAGTACGAAAAAATACGAACAACTTCAAGATATGTTGTTGTGTGCATGGATGCCCCTACAATCTGGAACCCAAGTTCATCATTTACCTTACGTGGCACAGATGCGCTCTTTTTCTCAAGGCCAAGCAGGGTTTGCTAGATGTTGCAGGACTTAGTTTGCTGCCTTATCAGTGGTGATATGTGCAGCTTCGGAGTGTCACTTCCGTTTCTTTGAGCTAGCCACCTGAAAACCAATTTCCACCCATCACCAAAGAAGGGGGTGAGGAATGAGGAATGGTGAGGATCATTTGCCAAATTTCTCATTTTCCAGACCATCTGCCCAACTAGCATGGACCCTGCCACACGTGGGGTTAGAAGATTCGTTTGCACTAAAGATTGTATATTTATTGGGACAGCCCAGCATCCAGTCCCAGACTTGGTGGGAAATCTGCAGGAATCCTCCGTAGCTGTTGGACATTGCCATTTATAGTTGATCTGCCTACTAAAAATGTGGATTTTCCAGCTCGCTATGTTAGTTTACCAGAGGGTAAATGAATAGATTTCTGTATATTTCTGTAACATTGATCCACTAAACCACATCCATTATATAAACCAATGAATGCCAATGAATCAAATCATAAATCAAGGACTCAAGGACAATGGATATTTTGATTGGTCTAAGACAAACTAATGCCATAAACCTTGATGATAAATCATCATAAATCCGTTGATCAAAGGCCTTAGTTTTCCTGTCGGATCAATCCATTGATCATTGATCCACTCAAGGACGATGACAACCTCTACAAGTACGATGACTTCGGATTCATCGGTTTCGACCTCTGGCAGGCGCGCGGGGCTGATGGATATATATATATAATATAATTATAATATAATATATATATATATATGTGATTATATATATACACACACCTGGAAAACCATAAATAATCATAAAGACACAATTTTCTGTCCGTACGGGTTTGGACATTATTTTTGTCCGTTACGTTTTTTTCCTCCAAATACGGCCATGTCCGGCTGCAAACCCTCTACTTACAGGTCAATAGTTTTCCTGAAATCTTGGATTTGTCAGACTGGTTCCGACAGTATGAGTGTCTCGTCTAGAGACAGTATTTGGGGCAGTATGTTGACATTTGCTTACTGTTTTTCTAAACATGATGTTGAACAAATACTATAGTATTTTATGGGTACATCCAAATTTGGTGGGAAATATGGCAGTATTTGTGGCCAGATTTGGGTACCTGATCACGACTCCCAATTTGCTCCACTTCGGGCTGAAATTACTCTGTTGGAGACTGCCGGAGGATGTCCGAACCCGGTGTTGTCAAAGCATTTTTGAACAACCCTTCACAATCACAAACCAAAATACGCAATTGAACAAAAAAAACGTCCGTTACGGGTAAAGCTCAAAATGCACAAAAAAAATGTCCATACGGTTTTCCAGGTATATGATATACACATATTAGAGACATGGGAATACATGAGATACATCAATTTTTTGGGGGGCATACGGTTTTCCAGGTATATGATATACACATATTAGAGACATGGGAATACATGAGATACATCATTTTTTTGGGGGGCATACAGTTTTCCAGGTATATGATATACACATATTAGAGGCATGGGAATACATGAGATACATCTTTTTTTTTGGGGGGTATGAACCCCCAATGAACCCAATGTATGTCATTTTTAGGGCGAATGATGATAACACAATTGGATGTGAGGGCACCATTTGTTCGAACCGGTTTTGATCAAAGTTTACGGCCCAGTTGGTGGATACATTCAGCATCCCTTTTATACTAGGAAAACCTACAGGCAAAAATCGTTCCTTTAAACCAAACCATTAAACCAATTGATTGAATTTTCATGGTGGTTCCCAGCCATTCCCTAAAGCCTTAAACTTCCATTTTTCCCAAAAGCATCTTCGATGCTTGGGTTCTCGTTTAGTTGTTTAACCGCGTGGGGGAGCGACCTGGCTCGAACGGTGGTGTGCGGACGGCGTGGGTGCAAGGGAAAGGAAAGGAAAGGAAAGGAAGGGAAAGGAAAGGAAAGGAAAGGAAGGGAAAGGAAGGGAAAGGAAGGGAAAGGAAGGGAAAGGAAGGGAAAGGAAGGGACAGGAAGGGAAAGGAAGGGACAGGAAGGGAAAGGAAGGGAAAGGAAGGGAAACGAAGGAAAAAGGAAGGGAAAGGAAGGAAAAAGGAAGGAAAAAGGAAAAGAAAAGAAGGGAAAGGAAGGGAAAGGAAGGGAAAGGAAGGGAAAGGAAGGGAAAGGATGGGAAAGGAAGGGAAAGGATGGGAAAGGAAGGGACAGGAAGGGAAAGGAAGGGAAAGGAAGGGACAGGAAGGGAAAGGAAGGGACAGGAAGGGAAAGGAAGGGAAAGGATGGGAAAGGAAGGAAAAGGGAAGGGAAAGGAAGGGAAAGGAAGGGAAAGGAAGGGAAAGGAAGGGAAAGGAAGGGAAAGGATGGGAAAGGAACGGAAAAGGATGGGAAAGGTAGGGAAAGGAATGGAGCGGACGGCTGCGAACGGCCTGGGTGCAAGGGAGTGGCTGGAAATGGGTGGGGAGAAGAAGCCGCTGGTGATGAGCGAGCTTGGCTGCGCGGACGGCTGCGGACGGGGAAGGG